TTATCCTCGCTGCTTCCGTAGTGTTCACACATGAGACGGTGGTGTTATGGGGTTGCACAATCCCATATATACATATATAAATGCGTGTGTGTATGTGCGTGTGCAGCATGGTGCGCCTGCAGCGTCGCGTGCGCGTGGGGCTGGAGCTGCTGCAGTACTTCACGACGCGGCAGTGGCGCTTCGCGACGGCGCGCGCGCGCTCGCTGGAGGCGCGCCTGCGGCCGCGCGAGCGCCGCCTGCTGCGCCTGTCCGTGCGCGACCTGGACGTGGAGGCCGCGCTGCGCGCCATGCTGCTGGGCACGCGCCAGTTCTGCTTCAAGGAGCCGCTCTCCTCGCTGCCGCGCGCGCGCAGGCACATCAAGATGTAAGGCGCGACGCCACATGCTCCTCCAGGTCGAATTCAGGCGCTGTCTGGAGGAGGAGTCGAGCGGCCCGTTGCTCCGATCAATACCTGACCAACGTTCCAGTGTTACTCTAACAAACGGGGCATAGACGGTGCGCAATCATTCCTTCCCTTTCACCTTCTACACATGCATACACTTACACTGCTACACAAATCGGGAGAATAAAGCTTGTGCCGGCTGGGGCTGAGCCTCACTAGGGGAAGTCCCGCACTATCCGGCGTGGAGGTGTGCGCCGGATTTTACCATTCAACAAACGAGGAACTAATGACAGCAGCAGTTGACGTGCCCGGCAACACCAATCAATACATAGATTAAATTGATTATTTTGTGTTTCTGTGGACGTCAACTGTTAGTACTGTAAGTTTGGTATATGCTTTATAACGGGAGGTTCTGGCCAATGTCAAATCGGTCAACAACCTCCATGTCCATTGGCAGGTTTCTCCTCTCCCAGATAACCGCCCCAGACGGGACAAGCTACAAGCTCTCGACTTATCCGTCATTTGTGGCGCTTTTAGGTGTGAGTGTGTGTGTGTGTGTGCAAGAAGAGGTGAGGGGTCAGGGATTAGAAAGGAAAGAACTCTTGCGATACTCCCCCGACATTCAATTGGCCATTGATCGGAGCAACCTCGGAAAACTACCAATCAGGGCGGCCGGCCGCCACAATTCCCCTCCAAATAGTAGCTCAATTCGACCTCGTTATCAAACGAGTATATAAAATCTGCCAACGTTGGGTCTCAAACCCTAGTACCTCGGACAGAGTCGCTGCAGTGAAAAGGAGTTCAAATGTTCAAAAGGCCCCTTGTTTTGCTTCAAGACAATAAAGGTAGCCTCATTATCTGTGCACGTTATCTTGAGTTGTATGAAGTGTTAGAGGAAACAAAGTAACTTCACGAATAGTACCGTCAAAAAATTGTATTCCAGGAGATGAGTGCTCCTATCAAAAAATCATATTCCAGGAGTGAATAGCTCCTTTCGCTTAGGCACAATAAGGAATAAAAGCAAAAATCTGCAGCTCAAACGACGATGCACACAGAATTTTGTTGCAAGGAACCAAATATTTGTTTTCAAATTTTGCCAAAAGCAGTCGTTGCTTCTCTTATTCATAATTCTATAATTGTACCTATAAGAGCAAGGGATATTGGCTCCGAAGCTGAATAAAAGTGTAATACATCTCCCCTAAACGTTTCACTTATTTTTAATTGTTTGTTTGATGTTACAATTATTAACATCCGATACAGAGCAAATAACGGACGCAAATGAAATTTGTAAACAGACTCTTAAGCCGATTATAACCAACAATGGCGCGATCAGGAGAAACACAAACGCGCTTGGAAATATAAGGCGTCGTTTCAGTTCAAATGAAGAAAGGATTTGAAAGTAGCAACTAATATATATGAATTTTAATTTAGATGAATGGAATGCACGAATTTTAATTTAGAAAAATGTATTTTCATGTTTCAGGCTCTACGTGATTCACCAGCTGACGAAATTATTGTTTTGGGGCGCACTTGTCTACGTTCCCCTGATGTACATAACCATCTTCAGAACAACGCTGGATGCAGTCTGCACTCAAGTTTTTGGTAACATCCCTTTTCCCATCGTGCCAATAAAATAAATCTCAAAGGTTACTAAGGAACTTTTGAGTAAAATGTTTACAGAAAACGTTGCTAACGTATTAATATATTTGTAATAGTACGTAATGAAGTAGTAGTGCTTGGTTTTGACGCTCAAAATATGACTGTATCTTATTGTGATAAAATGAAAACAATGTATCTCTACTAACATAAATTTAAAAATATATGAATGTATGGTCTTTTTATTAGAACATAATAAATAGAAGACTCTTCTTCACTCATAGAAGTGCTTCCATAATCCAAATTCTGAAGAATTTCATTTTCCTTTTTTCCCAGAAACGAAAAACATGTACCTATCCTTTGACATGTCTGTAAGATAATCAACCAAATCAGTTCCGGAAGAGAATGCCACACTTGCTATAATTCCCGAAGGCTTGCTTGAGCTCATTTCACTGTCGGCCTGCACAATTTCTTTTGTAAGAAATGGTGGTACCATTTTGCTTCTGTGACCCAATTCTCGTTAACAATTCGTTTTATTTTCTAATCCCATTCATTTTGACAGTTTTCATCCGCATTGATTATTGATGGTTTTAGGAAAACTTCATAAACTTGTGTACAAAATGTCTTTGTGGATAGGGAAGTCATTCATGTGATTGTGAATAATAATTATTATTATTTTATTATAAAAAGAAGAAACGAACCTCAGCCTATTCTTCTGAAATTCTTTCGATGTGAATATCGTGTTTGTTGCCAGAACGTATTAGCCTACTGTCACATTTACCTGAACTATCAAATGCTAGTCTAATCTCAGTAAGTATTAAAAACATTAATATGTATTCTATTTTAATTTACAATGCCCAAAAGAATTCAAAGATTCTACATTGGAGAGTCCATTAGTAATTTTGGGCAACTTCAGAATAAAAAGGAAAATTCTGTGAAATTTTAAAATCTCGTAGCTGAGCCATTCCACGTCAAATCAAACGAATTCGACAAAAAAACTTTGATGTTTTTGATTTTTTTTACTTTAGCAAAAACAACTTACACGTGTTTTTTTTCATAAAAGTCGTATATAATTTCCAGCACATCATACACAAGCAAGGATAAATTCACAAATAAAAGGAGCATCAGGATATACATGCCATACAATATATTCAATTATGAATGCATCCGAAACAGCGAATTCACTAACTTATACAAATGTTTTAGTTTCTCATCGCTTCAAACAATTAATATTTAAATATAATGTTAATGATAAACACTTGACTACTGGTAAAAACGTATTACCTCACAAATAATTTCTTGGTCTTGCAGCATTACATTCTTTAAACACAAAAATAATTAAATACTCGAAACAAAATTCGGAGGTAAACATGACAAATGTCACTGACGCAAAGGAAAAATTGGAGCATTTACGAGTAAGTGTAGTGCGGAGATGACATATTAGGCGATATTACTCCAAGTGGGTCGAAGTGTGGTGACCATGGAATCCTAATTTTTACGTTTTCAAGTGACGTGTTTGGAATTTAATCTATCCAATAATTGCCTCTAATTAAAAGATACGAAAAAATAATAATAGACAACCAATAAACATTAATAAGTGGTGTAATAGCCCATTTTTATTTTGCGCATTAAAAGAAAAACTAGTGGTGCTACAGAATGGCACAGACTTTCCCGTATTAGTTTTATATTTCCTTTGGTCTCGACTAGCTATTCCAACTTGCCACATATTCTTGCCTGTTGCCAGCTATCGCCGACGAAAATACAGTTTTTTGAAATTGTTTTAATTTTCCGGTTTACTAATAATAGAACCGAAATATTATTTTAAGAATACCGTGTCCTAAATGAACATTTTCTGTGGGAAATTAGGAGCCGTTTTTAAAAAACGGCGCTTAAGCGCTACAGTATATTCGAAATTTGAAGCAATTTTTCACTGAAAAGTTTTGAGTTTTCGAGAAAGTTTATTGGAAGTCATTTAAAGCACATTGTCTCACAAATAAAATAGTGTTTACAAATTGCAGGAAAAGTGCATCTTACCGGTGTGAGAGATATTTAAAAAAAATACATTTGGGTATTTTGTTTTAAAAACAAAAAGATAGCTAGACAAGCACATTAGCGACATTGAATATGACATACATGATCATCAAATGATGGCTTATAAGATCCTAAAACAACTAAACCAACAAGAAAAGGATACCGCGCGGTTAAACATTATACAAGAACCATGGATATAATTTTAAAATGGCAATAAACACCTTGTGAGATCAAAAATTGTAATAAAAAATGAAATTATAGAACAAGTTTCACACTTCAATTATCTCTGTTGTGATGCTAGTTACGAACGAGATAATGATATAGAAAATTAGATCCAAGAATTTCAATACATTTGCGGCACAATAACTAGAGAAGATACTAGGCAAAAAAACTAGAGAAGATACAAAAATAAAACTTTATAAGATGATGGCCATGCCAATGCTTCTATATGGAAGTGAAAGTTGGGTGACACCTAAAAAATATGATAGCAGAATACAGGCTGCAGAAATGAGATTTTTAAGAAGAGTGAAAGGATGTACTAGATCTGACAGGATAAAAAACGATGACATTAGACAAGAATAGAAAATAGAAGCTATAAATGGGAAAATAGAGGAATACAGAGAGAGATGGAAAGAACACATAGGAAGAAGGAAAAATACAATACCCAAAAAAAGTGTATAACTATCACCCTCGCGGTACAAGAAATATAGGCAGACCGAGGGAAAGATGGAAATGAATGCTTTGTGAAAACGGAACAGGTAATGAGCCTAATCCGTGAAGTGAAGAAGAAGAAGAAGAAGAAGAAGAAGAAGAAGAAACAAAAGATGCCCCGAGATTAACTTTACGTGATATTAAAGAGTGCAACTACCACTATACGTTCGACAAGTTTGAAGAAAAAACTTGGAACCGTTTTTGAGAAAATGGCGTATGAGCGTTTCTAAATTTGCAAAAGTTTGAGTTAGTTTTGACAGAAAACGCTTGAGTTCTCGAGAAGCTATATGTGTTGTTTTTTTTAAGCGCGTGTACTCATAAATATAATAATGAGAGCAAATTGCTGCTAGTGTAAATATTACCGACGTGAGAGACAAATAAAAAAAATATTGTAATTTTTGAAAAACCAAAGTAGAGCAAATTGGCCTTCATGTCATCTTATATAAAGTGTGCACAATTCGTACCAAAAGTTTAAAGAAACCATTTGAAGCGGTTTTTTAGAAAATCTTGTTTTTGTCATTTTAAAATTGCAGAAATTGCACGCAATATTGCGCGAAAAATATTAAAATTATAAAAAAATATACCTGATAATGAAAGTACAAATTATGGACAAGAAATTTTATATTAAAAAATCTCTATCTTCAATTTTGTAGTTTTGAAATTTTCTTTTCCAATTTTCGAAAAAAAAGAGCGATGCCCGAAAATGGGATTAGCATCACTTTTTGTCGGCGGCGATGGTGTAACGGTGTGTGGTGTATCGGACTGATCGCGGGTATGACAGCCGCCATCGACGCCGCGGATTTTTAATGGCGATAACAAGTCCTTCGTAAGCCTTCCTCAGCAACATCAGCCAGAACGAGTGAGGAATATAAATTTTGGAGGAAATCGGCTGAACGGTTTATGCGCTAGCATTGCACACAGACGGACAGACAGGCAGACTTTTGCCGTCAATCATTTTTTTGGTATCAAGGACACAAAACATGGATTTGGGCTACACAACGTGTTAAAGGATTTTTTTTCTATATTTAGCAACTAGATTTATCCACTTTTCAAACTAATGAATTCAAACAAGCTTCATTTTATAGATTATAATACGACTTTTGGTTAATGTTTCGTTGCTTTTTAACTTTAAATATTAACTTTTTTTAAGTTTGCAAAACATTTTTTAAATATAAAAAATATTACTAAATTTATTGTATTATTGCGCAAAAATTCAGAATGGATTATACATAAATACAGTTGCAATAAATTAACTTTCCCAATCGAACATCCGGTATGAGCGGCAACGAGATTGGCGCTCTATGAAGTCAAGTTCACTCAGTCTACTTATCATTAAAGTGAGAATGGTAGGAATGAGTCGTTGAAACTGTAGAAGTAGCAATTGAAGTTTATATATACATTTTGCAAAACTTAATAAAATAATAGGTCCACGAATCTGTATTTTTGTATAAATAGTTTCACTTTTTGCACCCGGATTTCAATAAGCCACATTCTTTTTTCTGGTCATCAATTGTCAAAAACATAAACACATAACACACATCTTTGTATTGTCTACTCAAATAATTTCTGTGGTGTCGTAATTGGATCGTGAACTGCCTGCAGATTTTCTCACGTAGCCAATTTCATCACTAGACCCTTTCCCATGGGAAGATATGCCATTCAGAAATTACACCTAAATATTTTTCGTGAAAACATAAAATAACAATGTTTTCCGGTTTTTATATTGCGCATTTGCTCCATTTGAGAAATATATTACTTTTTCAACATTACCTACTTCAAATTTTAGAAATTCAATCAAATGTGCCATGTGCATTAAAGCATTTGTGCCATGCTTTAAGCTTTCAGAATTGGTTATTTCTCATTTGTACCTTAAATGACGATTTATTTTAAATATATAACAAAGGGGTGAAGTGTGATCAGTTTGTTTATTCCAATGTGCTTCTTGAACTGAATTTTGAATGATGGAATAGGATGTCACACGCCGAAAGTTTTTCTTCTTAGTATATTTATCACAGTGATTTTTGAGATTTGAATATATTAAAATGAAAGTCATGTCTTGGGTGTTTGATACTACTCATGTGTTAACAGTCTAACACAAATTATGTAAAACCTGCATTAACACGGTTTACACTTGCTGAACATAAACCCTGCTATAACAAATAAAATTAGTTCTGCCGGTCATCACAGTATGTGTCTCAACCAGATGTGGCTGTAGCGGGACCGCAGTCACGAAAAGTTAAACAATCACTGGCAGAAACCTTGACGAGGGCGCTCATCTGGATTGCGAAGAAGGCCTCTTTGTTCACGTGTGGCAGAGCCGAATGAATTGCCCGCGCTGGGTCCGCCGATGACAGAATAAAAGCTTCGATTTCCAGTCAGTTACCAACAACAAGACGAATAAAATCCTCCAAAGCTATAGATTTAAAAATGACCTGTAGTCTAATGTTTTAAGATTATGGAGACTGTCCATGTTTCATTCCTATCTCCACTATTCGAAGCAGTACGAATTCGTACTTATATTGAAACATCCCCTTTTGCAAGGCAAAATGACTTATCTATTGCACTAAAAGTGAAAGACCTCCCTTATTACTATAAGTAGTTTCTCATATACGCAGTTAAGTAGCGACTGTGGATTGAAAAACGTTGTAAGAAACTTCTTATGGTTTTCCTTATTATAAATGACGACTATGAACCGTGATGTGTAGACATCCTTTCAGAAGTCCGTGATTCTGCACACGTACAGTTCTGTCCGAAGAATACTGGGAGAGCAGATGGGAAAAATGTCATACCGAAATCTTACGTCTTTTCGCTAAAACGACCCGGAGTAAGACGTTTGCCTCCATTGGAGTAAAATAAAAGATAATAATAATAATAATAATAATAATAATAATAATAATAATAATAATAATATAAATCTATAAGCATCTACATGTAATGATATATCTTGTGAAGCAATGTACCCAATTTAAAGGATAGTAATTATAACTTAATAAATCATACGATATATCAGTTTTATCATTTGAACTCCAAAAGCAACAAATTATGGCTTACCATGCAACTTACGAAGATGCAGAAAGAAAGATGTGATTCGCCTAGTTATGGACATAAGCTCCCGGTCAAATTTCGTGCGGTTTCTTCCTCCGAGCCCGCTAGCCAATCAGAATTGCCCCGTACCGAATGAATGTGCAGTTTGCTTATATGTGTACAGTAGTGTTTATGCGTGTGTACAGTTCAGAGATGTCATGAAAACAAAATGAATTCATGACCCCCTATTTCAGCTCCGAATGAGCCTTCAAATTGTATAAGCTTTAGTTGCTCGCAAATTTACACAATGTCAATTAGAAGGATCGTGCTATACCTTTTCGAAAGCAACAGTTAAGTTAAAAAAACGTAAGCAATAGGATATGTGCGTTTCGGAAATTATATATGAAAAGAACAAGCTATTGAAGAAAAAATTAAAATGGATTTGTCTCAGTGATACAGAATCATGTGAAAGCAATTGAAGACAATGATGTCACAGACAATAACCTATTTTATTGACCGTGCTTGGTGACTACGCTTCTATCGTGCTTCATACGGTGTAATTAATATTTTGTTTTAGAATAATGGCCGAAGAGTTGTCTGGAGTAGCTGTTGTGATTTTCATAGCATGCGGGGTTCTTACGTTTATCTTACTTTTTATATTTGCGAAAAGGCAAATCATGAGATTCGCACTTCGGTCTAGGAGAGGACCTCACATTCCTGTAGGACATGATGCTAAGAAAGTTAGTATCACAAAATCTGTAAATATCTTACATTCTCTCTAATTCTTATCAGAGTGTGGATTTGATTGACATAACATTTAATTGATTGATAATGAACAGAGGGAAATATTACTTCAATTATCGCAATTCTAATAAGGGAAATTGTTATTAATTCTGTCACTTTGTAATAGTAGCTTAGTAATATTCTTTTTTATTATTAATGTTTAATTTTCTCTTCATCTTATATGTACAAAATATTTATTGTCATCGGTAATTTGATTCAATTGTTAAAAATAGCATACATGAAACAAAAAGGAAACGATAATATTAATTCAAATATTTGATTTTAAAAATAGCATCAATGTTATAAATTTTTGACCACTTTTCTAGAGACAAAGGTGTTAAAGAAACTTCTCACATAGTGCTGGCTGTAATTTGTTGTTTTAATATTAAAGTTAACATTGTTAGGACAAAAAAGAATTCACTCTATTTCTTACCTCTTTCTTTTACATTTGTTTTCATAACTACAAGTCAGATCCCTTTTTATAATGGGAGTTTTATAATAGAATTAAGTATTTCCTCTTGAGAGAATTATAATTGGGTATTCATTAAACAGAAATTTAATTTATTGTAAAAATATAAATATAATTATAAACTAAAAGCATGATTGCAAAATTCCTTTCTTAGTATTTTACATAATCTGTTTCAGTCACTGAAAAGAGAAATCGACCGAACGATAGATGTCATACCACGAATTGTGTATGAGCCTAAACTGATCAATGATGATGATCCTCGGTACATTTTGCAGCCTGGAACAGAGCTCCCTCCTTACTACTTTAGACTGAAAGCTGTTGATGATGTCAAAGTTCTAGGTCTGAGAATATCAAAGTCTATTACGTCTAACATATTTTGATATTTAATTTCTTAATTTGCTAACAGTAACTTAAAAAATACATTTGTCTGAATAAATTTTATTTACACAGTGATTAAATATTACAGAACAAGAAATCACAAGGCAGGATAATGGATTTACTCGCCATCCTTCAGAAAATCTGCGTGCATATTTACTTAATACGTTGGCAGCTCCACTGAACGGTCTGGGTCAAAAACTAGTGCATCAGTTTTGTGACTTATATGAACACGCAAGGCATGATCCAAGTGAGTTTGGGGACGAAGAATATCAAGTTTATTCCAAGCTATTTTTGAAATTGCTGGATGCGTAAGTACATTACAAATCCTCCAAATTTCGTTCACTTATGAATTGCATTAATATTGTCATTTTTATGGAGTACTTCTGTGACATTTGGTCTCTTTAAAAACTTTTTAAAAAAATGACATTTTTTTGTGTATTACTGTCAGTAAATCCTCTATGAAATTCTATTTTCATAATAAACTTGTGAAATTTAAAAAGTAATTAAGGAATTCTGTGGGGAAATATGAAATTTGATAGTAGGTTTCTGCAGATTGGAAATAACCTATTGAAACAATGTTTATCCAAGATTCTGACCCCTAGATCAAACGGGCATTGTAATTTTAGAATATTAAACATTTAGTTCTAATATACGTTTGACAGCTCTTTTTGTTCATTAGCAAATAAGCAAAAAAACACTGTTTGTGTAGACTGATATATGTGTGTCTATCATGACATTTTCTAGAGCTAAGTTGCTGAAGTCCTACCCCAACAGTCGTAAATCAAGTCCTAGTCGTACACCAATGAAGAGAAATCAAGAAAAATACAGAAGTCTACTAGAATCTAAATTGCGAACAGACAGAAAATTGGATGATGAAGTACTGTGTGTTAGTGATAAGGATCTTCGACCTACCTCTTTGCCTGTATCAATCGAAGAAAATAATGAGACGTCGGTGTAATATTTATGAAGACAAAATCAATTGCTACAGTTCATTATATACAAGATTTGCTGAAGAAAAATAGTTTACAACTTAACTATTAAGCTTGATTAAATAAACAGACAATTTCATAAATTTGGAGAGTTATATTAGTTTTTCTTTTCAGATTTAACTTGATTTGACTAATAATTACAACACAATTACTTTATAAACGAAATTCATTGCTCATTCTATACACTAGAAAACATTGCAAAATTCTCTAAAAACAAATAAAATTCTTTGTCTAAATGCAAATGTTTAATGTTTTTATTTTCAATCTGTTTTCCTCTTAATGAAGAAAAAAAAGAAAAAGAAAAAAGAGAGAGAACTGATTGATCTGTTGGTTTAAATAAAATTCACTTTGATGATGTAATGAACATAAAACATAATTCTGCCTGGACCCTTCATTTCCTATTCCCTCTAAATACTACTGGCGCACATATATAAATGGATGTTGGTTTGTCCTAGATTGATAAACTCTGACAGTGTTTGAGATCTCCATGAGACTTGACATACCTTAATGCTATTTAAATGGAGTAGGTTTTTATGCTGTTCACTTTGTTGTAACTCTCCATTATATGGCATCGTCAGTTAAATGAATTTCCCAACCCACCAGGGTTTTATTGTTGCTGGATTTTGCCATGTGACGCAGGGAGGAGTTGAGCAGGACAGGACGAGTGGGTGGTACAGGACGTTGACATGAAGAAACTAATGCTGACCTAGGAGACAACAGAGAAGGGCTCATTGCAGCATAAGAACACCAGGTCGTAGCAGACCAGACAAGTGGGATGGCAGCGGTGGGGTGTAGCCACTGCTAGTAAATTATGTACGCAAAAGTAATAGATTTTGCATTTGAAGGGTTTGAAAATAAATGTGTATCAATATAGTAAGTACTGTGGAAGTATTCATGGCTCCAATTCAAAAAATATTGTGATAATGAAAGAACACTAATTTATGTTAAAATAAAGAATGAAGATCACAATATCATGCAATGTGTAAATTTTACACATTATGCAATATTGTGATCTTAAATCTGTTTGTCAATTTATGAAAAAAAATTACATCTTGTGACATACATGAGTGAAATTAAATTTTCAGATGTGCGAAAACTTGAAACATTGACAAAAGTTAAAGATACATTTTGGAATAATATCTGAGTTTCTAGGTTTTAAAGTGATTCTTCATGCATTATGTGCAACTCACAAGCTGCAGAGGTACTATCTTTCCTGAACTACACAGTTTTGAGTTTTTAACAAGGTCAAATCCTAAACACACTTGTCTGGAAATTTATAATCACTAGAGCATGAATGCAATGACGACTCCGACCTGTCAGTCCCCAAATGCTTTTTTAACATGAACAAAATCAGTTTGATCACGACTGAAAGGAAATACAGTAAGTGGATATTAACAGGAGCAGTTCATATATTGTCCAAGCCCAAATTTATGTGGGATTTATGTTACTTCAATGTTGCTTTAATTGGATTTTTTTTATTGATTTGCTGTTATTTACGTGTAATCTAGTCCTTTCTCGCTTACCACTTTAAACCACTCCATATACCTAGCCCCATGCCCCTCAGCTACGCTAAGAGTTAAAATTTTTCATTCTTGGATAGATACTAGGAAGATTCAGAAACTAGTACAGACAACCTTTGAAGTGTTGAATAAAGCAGTAGTACAGGACTGTAATTCAAAGAGAATAGATACCATAAAATGGAGCGATATTTGACACTTTTTACAGTCGTTGAACTTTTTTATGGTAAAACTTTCAGCCCTTTTTTGTAATATCAGTAATTTCTGGATTTTAAAATTGTAGTTCAATGTAATGCTTTAAGATATACATGAAACTTCCTTCCAGAAATAAAATAACACTTTGTGGTGTCACCATATGCTTCTGGATGACTGGACAAACAAATATTGGTTTAGAACAATGCCATCTTAAGTAATATTTCAGCATCATTAAGAACTGTTTTGATCTAGAAGGAAAACTTTGGGAACACAAAGACCAAAAAGCAACAAAATGCCACATGTACTGAACAACAAAAAAATGCAGAAAATTTATTCAGTTTCATTCAGATCACAGACATGGCACTATTGTGCATTTCTTCAGATAATTCAATTTCAGTTCACTTTCTTGTATTTGTCTTACTGTGGTCTAAAAAGCGGAACCACACAGATGTTTCTCGAAAATGTTTGTCATGCTTCACACTTGCTATACCTTGCTGAAATGATGTTGTATACATTGGTAAATCTACATTAGCGTTTTGCATAAAAAGCAGCCATTCGATCATCTGAAAATGAAAGATAAAAAAATGTTACATTTGTTTATGACCATAATTCTTTGGTTCATTGCACAAATACATTTATTCTAAGATCCAACATTATGAAGAAGATAATTAAATTTTAGTCCATGCGCGAGGATAAACCTACGTGAAGACCTGCATATACTGTATTTCAATTACAATACAAGCTGAATCCACGCAAACATTCAACATACACGAAATTCTGTTAAAAATGAAAATAGCTTCATCATATGGAATCCCACTTCAAATAGCCTGCTGCTAACCTTTGCGATGTAGCATTAGAGGTCCAGTGTTGTGTGTTAGAAAACCTAGTTTTGCTACAGGATGAGATTGAATTACACAGAAAATCTTGTGGTAATTTTAATTCTCTCTCTCTTCCTTCAATTTAATTGAAACAAAAAGAACTATAGAATCACATAGAAAATCATACAATAACAGGCAGAGACAATTAATGAAACTTGCAAGAATATGGAATCGTCCCAAAGCTGTACCAATCTTATTAATACAAAAATGACATCCATTGGCAGAATAGGTAATATTGGTTTATTGCTTGCTTACTAAAAAGGATGCAGTTTTAGTTTGTCCTGTGGTACAGAACCAATCTCAAAGATTGTAAAAGTGAAGTGTGGAATGATTTAGTCAACAAACCAGAACTAGTATATATTTGTAAGCACATACAATGAATAATTGCAAAAAGAACAGTATAGTATTTATAATCTCAAATGGCAAAGCGAATAGATGCTTCGCTACTCATGTCAAGGTTCCAGCTTTTGGCCTTCGTGATTAACATCCATGAGTTTGTCCAATATATAACTTCCATCACATTTTATTTCTAAGTACTTTTTGAACGTAGAAATCATAAATTTGCTAAAACCCAGATCATGATATGATGGTTTTCAGTGTCAGTGTTTTCAGTTTTCAGTGTGTATGAAGGTTTTCAAGCATATTTGATTAAAAGAAACAGATCCATAAAAAGTGACTACACTATTTTTAGAATGTTGAATAGGGTTTAAGCATACCTGTGTAGTAATTTTGTTCCACTTTTCATAAGTCAGAAGTGTAGAAAGTGCTTGAGGGAATAATCTCAAACGAATTTCTCGAGTTGTTGCAATACCCTCAAGAGATGCATTAAGACAGTCATATCCAGATAATATAATAACTGTCAAAATGAAAACATCGCACAGGAAAACAATAGTCTGAAATTGGGGGAAAAAATATTTTTAATTATAATCTATAAAAGATCATTAGGGAAGCTGATAAACTACTTAATTCAAAACAAAATAATTAAATATTTAAAATAAATACAATATGCAATACCTGCTGGTTATTTGACTCATTTTTATTAACTACTAGCTGAATTCGGCCCATAAGTTCCAAAGTCCATGGGCAATTGCTTTCATTTCCTCGACAACTCAGCATGACTGAAGCAATACTCTTTAATACACTAGTGTGTTCTCTATAACATTTTTTTTTTACATTAAAGCTGTACATAAAACATATCTTAATCAAAAGTTAAATTATGCCTGCATGTAGTTACCCTGTCATATTTATCGTAGCATCAATGCATTCGTTCAACCACACCAAAGGTATCTCTGTATCAGCACGGCATGCCATGGCTGTTCGAATTCCCATGGCTAAACGCAATTTCTCAGGAGTAACCTCCCACCAAACAGAGGGTGAGCTCATCCGCTCAATGTATTTTGTATGAAGCTCCACCACACAATCCACATACGAACCAAACAACTGTAAAATGCATGATTCAAAGGACAAAAATAATATTGTTTTCAATGACACTTTGAAAACTGAGCAGCTCCCATGGGAAAGTACACAAGTCGAAATATCACACTTTCTTTCTTTCACGGACCTGCAAGTGAAATGCAATACCAATTGCATAGATAAATGATTATATCATTACCTTGTTTTGATTAGTTTCTCTCAAATTTGCTTTAGGGTATCACGAGCAAGTACGAGTACTTTGACTGTCCTGTAAAACTTATTTGATTTTAATGCTTTCCTAATGGAGCTCCTCAGTACTAAATACTTACAGGACTGTCAATATCAAATTTTTCCAACAAACTTTCTACAATTAAAGATAACTGTGTTCTATTAGAATCGTGAATATCTTCCTTCTTGAGAGTACATTTTACATGACTCAGCAGTTGTTTCAAAAATTTTTCATTTTCAAAATCTGCACCTGTAAACTTTTTTGTGTCAGTAACATTTCCCTCCATACTTACTAGTAGATCTACCCCATTAATATTCCACATACATCATGAAATAATTATTATTTTATTTCAGTATAATTGCAAAATCAATTTAACGGCCTAGATTATAAAACTGAATTCTGTTTCTATAAATAATTTTCATATTCTTTATTACGATGCTACATTTAAAACTTGCTACAGAAAGAACTGAAAGCTTCTTGGATGGACATTTTGCACGAAGTTTTATATTAGGCTGATTAAATTGTCTTTTGCACATAAACAAATATAATACAAGTTGTTAGTGACAACACCGATCACTTTTCTTCTCTTAAATTATCTGTAGCAAGTAAATGCATTAGAAAATGTTGTAGCTCTTGTACCAATCACATTTTTTTTTGGAGCAAACAGACATCAGATTGATGAATTGTGTTTGTCCAAGTTCTCTTAGTAATGAATTTGTCCAACACATTGTGCATAAATGAATCCTTATTTAATTTTCTGAAGAAACCAATTTAAAAAGTCCAATAATTACTACTAAGGAAATCTAATTCAAAAACTTTTGCAGAGGACTGAATGAATGTTTCCATCATTGCTGTTAAAAAAAACAACTCATCTACCTGTTCTTTCATTACATATTTTTGGAACAAAAGCAAATAATACTCACCATTTTCTAAAGTTTGTCTTATAGCCATGAGCAAGGATTTTTCAATTAATGGCTTCAAAACATTGGGAGGTACACTCTTACACAACTCTCCCAAATTGGAGAAGAGAATCAAAATTTCATTTTCCTAAAAGAAAAGAGTCGGAATGAAATAAATCATAAGAAAAGAATTTAAAAAAGTAAAGATCTGTTGACTCACTGTGTCTTTGCTAGGAACCAAACTGTTTATGAAGTCTTCTAATACTTTACGAGCTGATGGTGAAGTATTTTGTTTAGCAGCTAAGGCAATGCCATACTCTTGTAATTCCGGCACTTCCAAGAGAGGGGACAAGAATATCCAGTTCAGCGGAG